TAACAAGAGTTTCAAAAAGATATACCAGCACAAAAGTTTGTCATATTCCAATTCACATAGCTAACGGAACCAAATCTGAAAACTCCTGTTCTTGTTCAACATATACTTCCAGAAACCAAAATCCAACAAACCACAAAATCCTACTCAAGAAATGTAATTAAAATTTGCTTTATGTAAGAACCAGAAACAAAACATTCACAAATCACACCAACGAGCCAAAATAAAACAATAACCTAAGTAGCTTTGATCCAATTTACAGCAACAAACCAGTTTTTCACATTAGGCCAAAGCTGAAACTGCTTCTGATCTCAAACCACAACTTTCTTTAGCAAAACAGCACACAAATTTCTGATTGTCCATCACTGCACAAACAACAAAAGTTCAAATCTCGAAAAGAAAACATCAAATGGGTTTCTCTCCAGGGAGATAAGAAGGAGAACCCCATTCCACTTGATTCTTCTTTCTGTTGAAAATTCCACTTAGGTTCGGCAAAAGCACTTTCTTTGATACCACTGAAGTTTTCGTCTTCTCCAGTTTGTTATGCAAAGGCTTCTGTTTGGGAGCTTTGTATTGGTGTTGCGGTGATGATTCAACGGACATCTTTGCCTCGGCTTCTGCAAGAATCCTTGATGCTGCTTCCTCTGCTTTCTTCTGATCTCTTTCGCGCCACCTTCTGAGTTCTCCTTCAACCGCTTTCTTAGCTGCATCAGCCATAGCTGCTTTCTTCAACGCCTCTTGAGTTGCAGTCTTAAGCTTCTCAATCTCTGCTTGTGTTGTCTCTAACTTCTTCAGTGTCTCGTTTTCGCTAGCTTTCACGGCTTCCACCTGAGCCAATGCAGCCGCCACTTTCATTTCCGCCAACTTATTGAATACTTCAGCTCTCTTGCTCAACGACTTAAACTCCTCCTGAGACAATGTGATGCTCTGCGCTCCAGAGTCGGATGATGTCGAATTGCGAGCAGCATTGGTTCTTTCAGACATTGATTTTATCAGTTCAAGCGCCTTTGTCTCAGCAGCTTTTGCTTCTTCGGCTTCATCCAGAGCGACCCTCAGGTTTAGCTCTGTGTCTTCAAGAGCGAGATGCGCAGCTTCCGCTTCCTTCATTAGCTCCTCAGATTTGTTTCTCATTTCCTCAGATTCTCGTCGAGCAGATTCTGTCTCTGAAGATATCTGATTCAAGGTTAACATCATATCTTCCAAAGCCGCCTTTGCTTTAGATTCCTCTTCAACAAATTCTTCTAGCTCACTCTTGCTTTTGCTAAGCTTGAGATGAAGATCTCCAGCCATAGATTCAATTTCAGTCTCCTTCGCTTCCACTTCTCCGTGCTCTGTCTTCACATTCTTCAGTTCTGCTTTAAGAGATTCCAACAACTCCTGCAAAGACTTCTTTTCTTCCACTAGTCTCTTAAGTAAACCCTTTGCATCATCCAATTCCAAACTCACCGCATTAACGGAATCCATATCAGATGCTTTTGCAATCTCCATTTGCTTCTGCAACTCGTCGATCTCATTATATGTCTCAGTCAACTGCACTTCAAGCTTCTTTGCAAATTCGGGGTCAAACTCTTTCTTCAAGGCAAGCAATTTCTTGGCAGATTCCTCCATGGCAGCTTTATATGATTGTTGTTGAATCTCCTTCTCTGCAAAGATCTCAGATTGTTCTTTCTGGGCTTGAGAATACGCAAGCTTCGTCTGTTCAACTGATTCATGAACAGCTGCAATTTCCTTTCTAAGCAATTCAATCTTCTCCGAATTAACTTTAGCCACTTCCTTAGCTTCCTTGACTTTGTTTGAAGCATCAGTCTTCGTCTCCAAAATCTCATTCGAAACCTGACGGATTTTTCTCAGCTCTTGCTTCGCTGTATCAAGTTCCTTACATACCGTCCCATACTGTTCCAAATCCTGACTCTGAGCATCACTACTAGACACAGAAACATTTCCTGGTTTCGCATCTTCGATCTGACTCTTAGCAGCTTCAGTTGCTTTCTTTGCAGAATCTCTCGATTCATTAACCGCTTCAAGCTTACGCGTAAGCTCATCAACAGTTCTTTTCGCCCATTCAAGCTCACTCAACGCTTGCTCTCTGACTGTTTCCGCATTCTTAAGCTGTTCCTGTAGCTTGTTTAACTCCTTCTGCGCTAAGTGAAGCTCTGTTTGCTTCACCAAAACTTTCTGCAAACCACACACACAACACAATTCAAATTTGAAAAAACCTCTTCACTCACTCAAAATGTCATTGAAATCAAATCAAAACTGAAGAAGTTTACCTCAGCGGATTGAGGACTGGCTTTTCGAATGACCGGTTTTTCAGCTGAAAAGGCAGCTTCACCGAAAAGATTAACCGCATCTTTAACCGATTGAAAAGGAGCACTTGTGTCTATCTCTCCAACCTCCACAATGGGAGAAGAATCTTGACGTCCCTTCTTAGCAACCATTTTGCATCTTCTTTCTTTATAGAGCACTAAAAAACCAAAGATTCACCACCTGACACAAAGAGAGAAAGACACACATAGTTCTCTTTTGATTCAGTTCGAAAATCATTATCGTAACGATTCCATTAATGGGAAATTAAGCAACATCAACAGTAAACACACGGAATAAAAAAAAACCCTAAAAAGGTAATCAAGGGAAAGATTAAAGATTTTCTCTTTTGATTGATCTGCTCAAACCCCAATCACCAGGAATCGGATAAGATCCTATAAATCAATAACCGAGACTACGAAGCTTATCTTCCACCATAAAAGACGATAGAGAAATATCCCAAAACCAGAGATGGATGACTAATAAAACAATCAAAGAGGCTAAATCGATTCGTACCTGATCTTTCCGGTCTGAAATTTATCGTTTTCTGGGTTCGAAAACGAAAACCCAGAAACGGGAAATCGAAGAAGCGCCAAGAAAATCAAGGCAAGATTCTAAAGGAGCGTTTTTTTTAGTTTGTTCTCTGGGAGATGAAAGACGATCGAGAAATAACGAAAGGGTAAATCGGAAAAAGATATCTCCGGTCTCGACGCCTATGAAAATAGAAATCGAGAAGGGAAAAAAAAAAGATTTGAGCTTTGAGAGCGATGAAGTTTGAAATTCTTCTGTAAAATCAGAAGCAAAGTCAGTGGC